AATTTTATTACCGAAGTGCTGTATCACTGGGGAAATTGTTATTTTGGATTATTCTATGCTAGAGTAACATACGTTGTAGTTAACTATGAGGTTGTGTTATTAAAACAAACCCCAAATATCTATGTTGGGTGGCTGTGCTGAAACAATCAGAAGACACAGGAGACAGCTACACTGCATGCTGTTGGAGTTAAATCCAGTATATACCATACTGTAAAATTACAGCTGTGAAATCCTGATAATTATCTTTTATTTTGTTCTTTAACAAGGCTTCCTTTGTGCAAGAAAAAACAGCTGTGATTAAATAGTCAGCTGTAAAAACAAACAAGAAAAATCCTCTCATGCCCAAGCATATCTTAAAGTAACAAATCATTCCTGCACCTTTCCCTGTGCAGCTGTCACTGTGCTCAATTAACTGGTATAGTTAATTGGCACTGTTAGAAGCAGGAGAGGTCTGGCCACAGGCCAGGGGCACCTTCTCTTGCCACTGAAGATGAGTGTAAGGAACAACAGCTTTCACAGGTGGGGTTTAATTTGGGTGAAGAAGCCGAGAGTTACCATCGGGTTTAAAACAAACTAAATAGTCTCAGACTAGCTAAGAACGTGGTGGACTTGGCACTGTCAGCTTTACAGCTGGACTCAATGATCTTAAAGGTCTTTTCCAGTCTAAATGCTTCTCTGACTCTAAGAATGAATTAAATTGCTATTTGGTATGCTGGCAAATGGAATAGAAGAAAACATTCCTACTGAACACATTAAAATAAAATAAAATTCAACAGCTGTGTTCAAACCCCGACATATATCACACAGAAAATGAAATTTTAGTTTTGAAAGACATAATATAAACTGGCATACAAATATGTCTTCTCCTGTACATATCATGAATTCTCTACCCAAGTGAGAGATTTCTTTAAACAAATAAATCTGCAGGTTTGAATACCAGCAGATGATTGATTTCAGTGGAGAGAAAAGGTTTCACCCAGACATACCAGAGTGCATTTTAACCAGCTCTGCAGGAGTCAGAGCAGAAGGGAGGGCAGAGCAGTAAGAGCTGGTTTTGCAGAAAGCCTCCCTGAGTTGAAATATTTCTTTGGCTGTAAATCTCTTAGTCTCATACAGGGTTTAGTAAAACCTGTCTGAGACATGCAGTCTATCCAAAAAACAATCAAATTTCTGTGTGAGGTCAAGCCAGTTCAGCACAAGTAAGGACCTATTTTTTTGTCCTATTATCTTGTTTGCATTTTAACATTGTATGTCATAAGGGTGGGTTGTTGTGTTTTTTTTAATATTCCTGCAATTTCATGCAAAAAGAAGAAGGAAAATACATTAATGCAAAGAAAATCCCATTTTAAAAATCGACAAAGGGGACAAGAGAAAGTTCAGGGTAATAAATAATCTCAAAATAGTTAATTTTTCTACATGGAAAAGATTACGTTTTTCAGTGGCTCTCTCAGCAAACGTTTAATGGATTGACAGAGATCTTGCTTAATGAAGATTGCCTTTTAATAAAAATGGAAAAGATTTCCATTGTATTTGAGAGAAGATGACCAACCATTATCTGCAGAGAAGCAAAAATGTAGGAAAGCCTTCTCTTCCTTTTAGAATTCACAGAAACACTGTAAAGGGTGGAAATAATCTCCAGGGCTCTTTAATTCAAATTCTCTCTAGTCCATCGTCCTGGTGGCTGACTTGCTAACAGGCACATGACTTCACAGGTAGGTGTTAGTGAAATAAATAGTGAGTGCCTCACACCACTTATAAATATTCATGTTGCGTAACTCCCAGCAAAAATATATTCATTTCTCCCTTACATCAATTTAAACATTTGTAGTTTGCATAAATAAACTGAACAGCCTGAGGTAACAAAGCTTAGCAAATCACTGTTGTTTATATTAATTTTGTCAACTAAAGAACTCTTGATCAGGTGAAAAAACAAGTTCCATGAATACTGCTGATTTCTGTGGCTGTGGGGAAGGAGCCTGTCTTCATAATGGCCTTTAAATCTTTTTTAAGCCCCTGTTTGAAAGCTACTCCAGAATGACAAAGCCAGAAGAACAGAGCAGGTGCTCTCTTTCCTCACTGCATGGTCACTACCCCTGCTCCACTCTTTGCTGTGCCCTTCATCTCCTGTTTGCTGGACCAAACACACACAACTTTATCAACCTGTCCTTACACATCAGGTTTCCTCTCTGCCTTTCTTCCCCTCCTGGGTTCTCCTCAGTCCCTGCTTAGAGCTGAGGACTGTCAAAAGTCTCATACAGTCAGGGGTTTTTTTAATTTTCCAGGTGTATTCCTTAGTCAGTTCTCTCATTTTTTATTTCTTCTCCTGGTAACATTCTAACAAGCTGGAAAAAAGCTTTGAGCCCTTTTTCATCCAAAAGGACAAACAAATATAATGTTGGTAGTCATTCTGTTAACTAATATGACACTTTTTTCTTGAAATCTAAGGAAAGGACTAACTGTACAGAACTTTCTGAACTACAGCCAGGTTACTTCTGAGAGGGTGAAATTCATCTGTGCTTTCTGCTTGTATGGATTGGAAGGTTCTGCTTGCTATGTGGTATTGAGGTATTTTGGAATGTCACATTTCAAGAGGTGAATAAGTTCTTATTCTAAATCACTGCCATTTAATTCATCCTGGTTGAAGGAGTTCTGTAACTCTTACTTGGGATGTATTCTTAGCAAAGAGAAACAAAGGCAGGAAATAAGAAAATACTGATCACAAATTTCTATCATTACAAGAGCTGGAAACAGTATGTATGAACTTCTTGTCTACCATTTGTGTCATGCTGGGGTTAAGTAAAATGCTTACAATTAATATGTTCTTGCAGCTATGCTGACTTCAGTGTAACACAAATAACTCATTAAATATGTTCTTTTCAGACCTTGTCAGGTAGTTTAATTTATGGTGGACTTACCTTCAAAACCCAGGAGTTTTGTTTAACTCAGCTGACATACCAGCTGTCAAGTCAACCATGTGCTCAGCTAAGGGAATGTAGGACCAGGCAAGCAAGGAAGGGATTACTTGTCGTGAAAAGGGAAAAAAATCAAACTATGCTAAGGCCTTTTGAGCACCCAGAAAGTATTTTGGAAAGAAGGGGGCAGGAAAAGAATGAAAAGGAATATAGTGCAAGACAAAATTTCTTGAAGCATAAAACCCCCCAGCAGGCTGAGAGGCAGCATGTTATTGAGGAGATCCTGGGTAACAGCTGTACAGCACTGCACTCAGCAAACAGCAGGACAGGAACCCTACTGTCTGTGCCTGCCTGCAGGGTGTTTGGGTCCTTCCCTAGCACAGCATTTGTACTTCACTTAGCCTGCCTTACACATCTGCACATGAACAGCTCCAGTGACTAAACCTGTGCAAGCATGAAAAATGTTTGCAAGGTTATGTAGAATGCAGACTTGACACAATAAAATAAGAACCCTTGAAGGTTAGTATGTTTTCATTAGTGCTTCAGGTTTTGTACATTTTGGGGTACTCACGTGGTGTAAAATTCTGTGCACATTAGCGGTCCATTAATGCGTTTTTTGAAATTCCGTAGATTAGTGTTTTATGAATATGCACTTGTTATCTTCCTCTGATGTTCTCTGGAACTGTTTAGCAGGTACTGGCAACAGCGTTTGAGTGGTATTTATAGCTTTGTTTGTCTTGCTCTCTCCTGGAAAGACTAATCTCTTAAACATTTCATTCCAGTATCTCAGATTAATTTTCCACAAATCAACCTCAAGCAAATTCTAGTGCAGACATTCTTACATTGCAGGAAGTATCCCAGCTCAGATAAAAGTGTTGTATAGATAGGACAAAGGGCAAGGGACAGTCATCTTTTTGCAAATCAGCAAAAGATAGCTGCAACCAGCATCAAGAAGAAAAATACATTACAATAAGTCAGGAAAATAACCATCTGCCTACCCCACTTACTGTTCCTTTAATAAGTTTAAATAGCTTCATGAAATTTGAATATGACTTGTAATTTTTAACATCTATTTATTTTAGTTTTGTTTTTTCTAAGTAACTGCAGCAGGGAGCTTTCCTAATCACTCCTGAAGTGACTTTGGTTTTTTATCCCCTTTGCTGTCCAGAGTTACCCATGTTTTATATTCCTGGAACTCCAGTTGTTCACATTCAAGCCTTGTTCCTTCCCACAGATACTAAAGAACAGTTTGATTCTTCTGTCTTTGCTGTTTATTCTACCCTATTTTGCAGTAGCAAGGTAACTGCAGCACAGGGGCCACAGACTCAGCTGGAGAGGCAGCCTGGGCACACGGAGAACACCACAGGCTTTGAGCAGCTGGATGT